CCGCAGTGCTCTCTGAGTGCGTGCCTGATGTTTCCCATGGATCTTTGTAAACAGGCTACAGTGTCCACACTATTATCCCCATTTTGTTGATGAGGAAACTGAGGTCCAAGGAAGAGAAATGAATTACTTCTCTCTTGTTAGTATTTTCCCTAAATGGAATTTAACAGATGTGTGTGTAAATTCCTCAGCTAAGGTTTCAAATCCAACATCACAAGAACAAAACACGAGAGCTGTAGCTTAATGCCTGAACTTAAAAAAAATCTCAGGGGATATGGGGGATTAGCACGCTTGTCCCTCCTTTCCCTTCTATTCTTCTGAAAAGCACACTTTCCTCCATTTCATCCTGTGGTCCAATTGGGGTGTTTTATTTCCTTTCCACAATAGTAGACCCATGACCTTGGTCGGCTAATTAAATAGCCCATCTCTTGATCATAGTGATTGGATCAGAGATAAAGCATGTGACCTACACTGGACTGGAATCTTCCCTGGGAGAGAGGCTAAGTAAGACCTCTTGCTATTACTGATATTATATGAGAATGGAACTTTGGTCCTTGTAGTAACCATCTCTCCCACCAGGCACAGAAAACCTGCTGTATAAAGTAAGCCACACAGATGTAAAGAGACAAATTAACTGATTATGTATTTGAGCCCCTGGATACAGCCATGCCTGAAGCTACAATTCTAAGACTCTCTAGTATATGAACCAATATACTCCCTTTTGTCATAAGGTAAGTTTAGTTGCCACCAAGAATTATGACTAATATGGGATGACAGAACAGCATACACTGTTCCATGAAAGTTGTGGACATGGGGTATAATATACTATCTTTCTAAATCATGTTCTTAAATTAATTCTCAGCAAATTTCTCATGATTCTGACACTGTGTTTTTTCTTAGCTCTTCCCCATGATGTCTCTTCTGGCTTGAATGCTTACTCTTCTGCTTCCATGTTTGGTGAGCTTCTGTGCATCATCCAAGCCCTAAAGCAAACCTAAGCTCCTGGGTGAAATCTTCCTTGGTTTCACTAAATGGTACCAGTTTTCCCCCCAAAACTGTGAGCTGTCTAGAGCCTGAGTTGTGTCTTATTCATTGTATGTTCTCAACAACAAGTACACTCCTGGGCATGAGGTCATTGTATTATTCAAAAACTAGCTCACCGTGACCTGGAGACCCTCACATCAAGGAGGTTTGCACTGTATTGGGCAGAGACAGGGACTCAAGTAAAATTACAACAGCGCCGAGGTAAGTCCCATTGTATAACTGAAAGTCACCGTGGCGATGCGGCTTTCAGGTGGCTTGAATGGAAGTAGCATGCTGGGGAGGCGGGGGACAGGGCAGGGCGTTCCACTGTGTGCTGCTCAGACCTCACCTGGGTGTTTGTCCCAGTCCGGACTGAAATAGGAACATTGAGGACACCAGCATCAGATTGGTTGAATTACATCACGGTTTTCATACTGCTTACGACAGCTTTATTGAGATATCGTTCACATACCACAAGTGCCCCATTTAAAACATACAGATCAATAGTTTCTAGTACAGTCACAGTTTTACAGTGCTTACCACATCAACGTTAGAACATTCTCATTGTTCCAAAAGAAACCCCCTCCTTTCGCTGTTACTCCCCAATCCCTCCATGCCCTCTCAGCCCCAGGAAACCACAAACCTATGTTCTGCCTCTACAGATTTGCCTCTGCAGGACATTCTGTGTAAACGGAATCCCATGGTCCTCTGTGACTGGCATCTTTCCCTTAATGTTCTCAGCAGACTATCTTTTTATCGTCGCTAAAGCAGCAGGAACCCCCCTTTTAGCGAACAGTGTCTAAGGTGTACACAGAACAATAGGCAATTATTAAGAGGGGGATGGCTCTGGTTGAACAGGCAGGACTGGGGTCCTGAGCTTTACTTTCTTGACTTTGTCCCCCAAAAGACAAGGGCCTCTGGAACCAGAGAGCTGGGCCACTCATATAGCTCCTAGGCAGTCCATCTGGGCACATACAGAGTTCTATTTTGTTGCACTTCAAAAGCAGAAGAAAGCCTTGCTATTTCAAGTCTTTTTTTTTTTTTAATTTTAAGAAACTGCCTTCTCCATAAAAGGGTATTATGTGACAAACATTCTAAGTCCCTTCTTATGGTAATACTGCACTTTGCAAATGGCTCGGATCCAATCCAATTGAACATAATAAAATGAAACAATCTGTGCTATCTCCAATAGCTTTAATCTTCACCATGCTAATGATTCCTAAAACCAACGCGCATGGTTTAAAAAAAGGAGGAAGAAAAGACACGCTCTGCTCTCCGGTTATCAGCCTTCTTGGCAGCTGGGCCTCCTGCTTATTGTCACCATCAACAGGGTCCTTGGAAAAAGCACCCGCCGCCCCTTTGCTCTGAGGTCAAAGTTTACGTGTGAAGCAAAATGGTCACAGTCATCCTCGTGCCCCTCTGCTCGTGACGGTTAATAATAAAGCAACACTGCATCCATAAGTTAAACGGCAACCCCATTGCCCGAGGTTGGCAAGAACTCCCCAGAGAACTGCAGGACCTGGCCTGTCTGACAATTATCAATGGCACGTTCTATCCACCCCTACAGAATGGTCAGGGCTCAGAGCTCACGTTTCCTGCCTGGGATCGGCAGTCACAGTCCTCCCATTGGGCCAAGTTGCGTCTGGGTACAGTCTCCAGATATTCTGGAAATAATGGATTCATTCATTCATTCACTCAGGTGTCCACTCATGCACACAGATGGATCATCTCTTACAGACCATGCTAGGAGTCTTGCTCTTGGAAGAACTCAGAGGAAATGGAGATACATCACATTTTTAATTTGTTGGGTTAAGCACTACATAAGTGAGAACACAAGACTGGGGCGGGGGGGGGGGGGGGTGGAGAGCAGGGGGTCCAGGGAAGACTCCCTGTTTGCTCTTGCTGCTGCTGTGTCCCAGGATGCTCCACTGGGGCCCATGTAAGCAAAGCCACTCCCATTGTCCCCAATCCTGCCCCTCCTGCATTTACAGAACTCTGAGCCTTTGCCTGCAGCTAGCTCCTGAGTCAGCTCCTGACCATCACAGGGTCCTTCGTCCAATCAAAGGGAACCTAAGGCCCACTCAACCCTCACCAGCCAAATCTGTATGGTTCCAGTCTTGGCCATTTCCTGTGGTCAGTTACCTTCAAAAGCCTCCCCATTGTTCAGGGCTGGACTCATCCACTTGGAACACATTTTGGACAATGAGTTTGCTTCTTCCCTTCCAGACACCGATCAGTATTGATGGGCTTCTCAGAGAGGTGGTTAAGTTTAGGAAATTAGGCTAACCACATATGGGGTACCTCAGGGGCTGGCTAGTGACTAGGAAAGGTTCTAGAACGGGAGACACTGAAACAATGGATCAAAGAAAGCCTTTGGGTGATTTTTGTGTATTCCATAGATCCTTCCTCCATTGAGGTAATATTAGTAGTTAATATTAAAAATAACCAGATAATATTTACTAAACCTACTACATATTAGACACATCCTACATGTTTTATATATATATGAACTCATTCAATCCTCACAACATCTCCATGAAGTAGGCATTAATATTTTCCCATTTCACAGATTTGGAAACTGAGGCACTGAGAGGTTAAGTAATTTCCCCAGAGTTTTCTCTTGGGATTTGAACCAAAACTATCATTTTCAATGACATTGATATGCCTTTAAAATAACTATGAAATGTATGTAAGCCCCTTAAAAATGTACACTTTTTTTTTTTAATTCAGTAATTCTACTTCTGGAAACCTAATCTTATACAATAGTCAAATATTATATATTGTATTTATTAGTCTAAAGTGCTCATAGGCTATTTTTTAGCCTTATTTATAATAAGGGAAATCTTGAAGCAATTTAAATTTTCAATATTATAGGAATAAACTACAGTAATAGCCAATAAATGGAATTTATAGCCATCACTATAAATTATATCAATGAAGAGTCAATGATATCGTGGAACTCTGCTATAATGTTAAGGTAAAATGTAGACCTGAAATGTCTATAGATGATATGATCAAAATGGGTTCAGATGCTAGGGTGGACATACACAGTGAAAGGAGAAAAACAAAGTTTTCCATCTGGTTCCACCCAAAGCAGCTATTAGGAAACGATTTGTTTGGGAGCAAATCTGTATCTCCTCTTAACCTCTAGTCTTTTAACACAGAATCTCAAGAAAACTCAACGTGGCACTTTTTTTTCTGAGATATTTCACGTGGAAAAATAAATGATATCAGTGGGTTTAATATCGCAGTTGGCTAGGTAAAGCTAGGCTCTTTACCTCATGGATGAGAAGTGAAACCAAGCAAAAAAGCTTTGAATTCTCAGACCTGCTCACGCAGTGTGTCTGGAATTGATGAGGCACACAGATATCACCTGGAGATAACTTTTTCTACTTGTTCTCAGGCTCAGAACCAAATCACAGCACCTCCCTCCTCCAGCTCTACTTTAGAGCAAATTGAGTCCAAATTAGATCACCCGTTTTGTCCAATTGTATAAACCACGGCAATACTGTTTGGGAAAATCTAATAGTGTTAATCTAAGAACTGCTCCTGTGCCCACAATAGAATCAAACAAATAATCAATAAGCCTCTAGATATTATAACATCACTGAGTGAAGAGATAGAGAGGAGCAGAGTCTGTGTTTGCAGAGAGAGCTGCTTAAATGGAATCAAATCACAATTCAGCAAGGACAAAGCCAAAACAAACAATAGCAGTAACAACAAAACTGGGGTGAGTAACATCATTTGTTCTACAGACTAACAGTCCCAGAATATTCTAGCTGGAAGTGTTAGATTGTGAATTTCAATGAGGCAGGTATTTTCTTAGGCATTTAAAAATCTCATTTGACCTTCAACAGTAACTCTGTGGCATCATTTTACCGTAGGGTAAATCTGAGATGCAGAGAGGTTAGTTCACGGGCCCAAAGTCACACAGCTAATAAGAGGCAGAGATGGGCACTGACCCCAAGTTTTTAACTCACATTCACTTGAACTGCACGCTGGCAAGCTGACTTTGGAGTCAGCCACAATCCAGGATTGCTTTCTCTGTAAACGTAGGCATGTTGATAGTATCTTCAAGGCTCGGTTTCTTAAAATGGAAGTAACAACATCAACCCACGTATCAAGTGCAAAGTGTGATGTCTGATACAAAGTCCATACTCAATAACTGTTGGCTCCTAATAGCTTTATCATTACATTACTCTAATTATGACCAAAAAAAGCATGCCCTTAACAAAACAACCATAAGCAAACTCTAGTTCCTTAATACAATAATGATACACCTGTTTACCTGTTTAGGAGTCAAGTGAGTGATGTGTGCAACTTATTTAGAAATAAATAAAAAATGAGATAGATGGATGGGAAGAGGGATAGATATATGGATAAAATGCAAGTAGAAAGAAATGTTAACTGTCAAATCTAGATGATGGCTATATGGATGTTTACAATTCTTTCAACTTTTAATAAAATGTTGGAAACACAGCAATAAAGAAGACTAGGATACAATGGGTGACTCCCATGACATAATGCTGAGCAAACGCAGACAGACACTGAAGAGTGCACCCTGCATGACTCTGTTTATAAAAAACTCGAGAACAGAGAGCTATGGTGATGGAAATGAGAACAGGGCTAGCTCTGGAGGATGGTGGGATTTATTGATGGAAAATGGGTACAGGTAAGCCTTCTGAGTGTTAGAAATGTTGTCTATCTTGATCTTGTCTATTTTTATATGGGTGTATAAATAAATTACATGGCGTATACATAAATAAAAGTTTCTGACCTGTCTATCTAACATGCATGCATCTTACCATATGTATGATACACCTCAAGTTAGATTCTGACTCTCAAGCAGCTCACCTTGCAGAGTGCCCTCCTCTCTCTGTGCCAGAATTCTTTCTAGGCACTTTCTGATGCATTCACTTGGAAAACCATTTCAGAGAATTGTCTGACAGAATACATCACTTAAGCCTTTAAACTCAATGAGAAGCGACCTCAGTTTCTTAGGAAATGACTATCATTCCTGGGAGTAAACTGGGCCTATGAGGAAATTACCAATGTATCAAACTCCTCAGCCACTCAGTAGTCCTTTCCCAGCACACTTGGGCCTTTTCTTTCCTCCTTCACAATCGGATTTATCCCAGAAAAAAAATGGGTACCCCCACTGACTCCAAATTTCTGCCCTCTGACATGAGATTCAGTTGTGGAGATGGAGAAAGAAGATGCCACCTCCAAACCATACTATATAGAGAGTCACCTACAGAGTGAGTGACCTTGTAAAGGAACATTCTACTCACAAGACAAACATCTCCTCTCTTGTTCAAACCCCAAGACTGTCCCTTTCCAAAGCTTCCCTATGGCCTGGCCCATTGGATCTCAGGGAGAAGGCACATCCAGGCTTGTTCAGGAGTGCCCTGAATGGAGGTCCTGATGACAGGAGAGCTGTCTCCAACAACAGAGACCCCCAATCTCTTCCATACTGCCGGTGACATAAATTTGAAAAAAGTGCCTCCTGAATGCAGGCAACATGAGTGCATGATGATTTCTGAATTAGCAATAAAATGGAAGATGTCGTAGAAATAGAGATGAATTAGGATCCAGAAGGCCAAGGTTACTCATACCATAAAAACTGGGGAATTTGTTTTAAAAATAGAGACACAAATTTCTCTCCAGACACAGTGAATCGGAATCTCTGGGATCCTCCTGCATGTGAATGATTGAGAATCAAAATCTTTTTGTAAAGAGCCCCTTAAGGGAAACAGGCCCTTTCATGCATCCTTTTACCAACCCATCCATCCATGTATCCATCTATTCACCCATCTACCCATCCATCCATCCATCCATCCACTCACCCACCTGTGCATCCCATTCTATAACTATATACCTGCTGAGTGTCTTCTCTGTGCCATGCAACAGACTATACTTTCTTTAATAATCAAAGACAAAATTCTCTTATACCAACAAGTTTTACAAAGAACCACACTGACTTAGCCACTCTTAATTGTATAATCATCAGTCCAATCATATGATCATCATTAAAAAAACCACACATGGTATTTTCCCTACTTTTCTCACTAACCACTATAAATCTATTTTCAGATATCACCAACCCTGCATTAAGAATTACCTGAGTTTTAGGGAGAGTATAATCTGAAACATAAGCATTGAGTGTTTGGCTTGAGTCTCAAGAAAACTTGTACATTTATCTGAGAACACTGGAGTCTTAGGGGTCTGTAGGTGGGCAAGCACCTTTCTATGGAGTTGATTACTTTCTGAGACATCCAATTATACATGAGTAATATCTTTCCCCAAAGATACTCTGCAGAGAATCCACTGTGGATTCTTCTGTTTTCAGGAAGCTATGATGATTTGGATACCAAAGCAAGCCCCAGAGGTTCTGAAGTTATGTACCATTAAAATAAAGTCTTCAAGATGTGTGTGTGTGTGTGTGTGTGTGTGTGTGTGTGTGTGTGAAATAGATATGACAATGGAGGCAGAGATTCAATAAAAGGTTATGCCGACTTTAGAAGAAAAAATTAAAATAAAGCAAATGAATTGAAAAAACGTCCCAGAGCTTTAAATGCTCCTTTTGAATTAACTGCTATTTACCTCTGTCATAGAGTCTGACACCCGGTGACCGATGATATGCGGAATTATTATGATTGTAGTACTGTATTGTGTTTCCTTATTTAGTTCTCTGTCCCCTCCAGATAGCAAGATCCTAGAAAGCTGAGACCATTTTTCTCCTTCTCACCACTGGATCTATTCTGTGCCTGACAGCGCTTGACTCAATAAATTCCTGCTAAATCATGGATATACGTCCTTTTCTAGTAAGAATGTGACAAAATGAGACAGTCGTTGCAATTTCTGGTGCCTTCCACCTAAAGCAAGTGACTGATTTCCATTGGGTAACAGTCTCCTTTCACTTTAAGTATTGAGGCTGTTCAAGAACAAATAAGATAACTGAAGCATGAGTACCGTCAGCCAGTCACTCAGCAACCAACACTGACTTCCTTTTAATGTACCACAAGACAAGCACTCTAATGAAATCTAGGAAGCCCTGGCCCTATAATGTTCTGTCACTCCTAGTCAGAGGCAGGGGTATTTTTTTATCTGTGACCTAATTCATGGCCAGATTGGGGGGGTCAAACATTGCATTAGTGATTCTCTGCAAAAAAACACGGGTGGCAGGAATTGATCTTGCTGCCCCAGTCTAGTCTCTGCTCAACAACATACTACTTTGTCTCTCATCCCTATGACATTTGACTTAACCAGTGTTCCGTTCAACTAGTCTGTCCCACCCCATGCACCATATACCCACTAACTGACACACCTAAGGTGCAGACACCGCTGGTACTCATCATCCAGAAAGACTGCCCCTCACACACATCCTTTACGCCCAACTTTAGCCGCAAATTAGAATCATTTAGGGAGCTTTTCAAAATCCTGATGCCCAGGCTGCACCCTAACCCACCTGAATAAGACTCCCCAGAGGATGAACCCACACTTCAGGATTTTTTTTCACCATTCCTTGGATGATCACAGCGGGGTTGAGAACCACAGAGGGAGCCCATCCTCCCAATCTCAGATGCCTCAGTCAGTACATCTGGCCTTGGGGAGGCTTCTAGCGTCTTCGATGTCATATTTGTATGGAGTCTCATCAGCATCTGGATCTCCACGTCATTCTGCACACTGTGACAAGCTCTTGGATCTTCAACCAAAACATGTGCTTTCCTATTGCACTGAGATTCAGCACTGATGGTTCTGACATCCTGGGGGAGGCCGATGGGGGATGCAAGAATAAATGAAAGTAGGGGTAGAAGAATGGGCAGTTAAATGGGTGGAAGGATGGATGGATGGATGGATGGACAGATGGACAGAAGGCCATATAAATAGTTAATCCTGTAAAGGCTTCTATTAGAGCACCTGAATTATTTTATCATTCTTTTCGCATGTTTGTGTCCTCAACTTGATGTTAAGTTCCACAAGACAGAGACCTGGAACTTATCTGTATTTATTTTCTCAGGACCTGGCATAGTACTTGGCTGGTGGCGGGGACAGCAACAGGTAAAAAAATATATGCCTTTCGAAAAGAACTGACTTTAGTTCAATATTCTTATTTCTAAGTCTATCCAATGTCCTTCCAAGAATAGAATTTCTTGGTAGGGAGAAGAATGAAAATCTTGAAATAAAGATGCTCTGTGTATATTTTACCTTCCCACTGTACAAAGAAATAGCTAGTGGCGAATTCTGATAAAAAAAATCAATTGGGAAATGGCATTATTGATCTCAAGAGAAAGTGGATAGACAAACATTTAAAAATACTACATTATTTGATAGTGTTTCACTGTCATAGAACTTCCTCTTTTCACTGATGGGCAAAGGAAGGCTTAGCAAATAACTTATTCAACACAATGAGCCCAGAACTCTTGTCCTCCCTGTCCATGCTTTGCTCTTGCATTGAAGAAAGAATTTTAAAATTCCATAACCCTCTAATCCTTCATCTCCTGCCCCAAACATGACCTGTTTTCTGATCAAACTATCCAAAGTGGCATTGATGCATTGGTTTTTTTTTTTTTTTTTACCAACCTGATAGGATCCTTGTCAATAACATGTTACTTACATTTGGGTTGTTGGGAGGTATGAAGAAACCTTGGTGGTACCCACCTGTGGTGTGAGGAAGGAGCCCCATTTCTCATGAGAGAGAGGCACATCACTGTTAAAAATGCAGTCTGGGTACTTTGGAAAGTACAAGGCACCATAACTTCCCAAATTGGCAAAAACTACCTGCTATGGATTGTAGTAAAGTGTGTTTTTAAATTATTTCAGAACCATAAAACCTCTCCATAGAGAGTACTTTGAAACTGCAAATTAAATATAGAACCTCTATGAACTGTATCCATTTTTACAGTAAGTATATATTTCCATGGGGGTTTGTACCATCTTTTTTGTCTAGTTACACTAGTTAATAATGCAGTGAATTTGCAGTAATAGAGTAAATGTTATTTTGATGACACTATTTGATTAAATTAAAGACGACATTAAAGGGACCATTTCAATAAAGAACCGAAATATCCAGAAGCAACTGGGGCTGAGTGTTTAAGTCAGCTAGTCTGGCGGTCTTAAAAGGACCAAATGGAATTTCCTTCACCGTGTGAATGATGAGCGAGTTAAGAAACAATAGGACCAAATAATATATGGGAGAATATGAAGGCTCAGAATCCAAGACCCAGGCAATTTTAGTTATTTGAGGCAGGCGTGCCACTCACAAGAAAACAGCCCGAGCAGCCTTGGGAAAATGTAGAAATGCATTAAGTAAACCGAAAGCGAGAGGGCACCGAGATTTGTAACAAAATGTGCTGATGTGGTGACAGCAAGCTGAGTTGTTACACAAACAAAAGAAAAGAGAAGATGTGGGATTAGTCATGCCCCCCCCCCCCCGCCAGCCGCCCCCTGCCAGCCGCCCACCCCACTGTCTTCTCTGCAAATTCACAAATGCAGGAGTGGGCCACCCACACCCGTGCAGGGAAATCTGAGACTGCAAAAGGAGAAGCGAGTCCTAATTATTTCTTTCAGGCCCTGTTCCTATGGTGCTTGCAAATAAAAGTTTTCCTGAGTGAGATGTTCCCGTTCATAAATCAAGCGACTGTTTGAAAATCCCTTGACTTAAGTTCTTAGAGACAGACTCTCTGAACAGACATTCCTAGGCAACGTGGCTGAGTTACGAATCACGGGCGTTCCACCAGAAGGAAGACCCCGGATGAAAGGTGTGTGGTGGGTGAGGCCCCCAGGTCTCACAGTAACACCTGCTTTGGCACTTCAGCCCCAAAGACAGGGACCTCTCTATCTCCACAGGGGGCCACTGACTGCTGACAAGTTCAAGCCGGAAGCACTCACAATTGTGATTGTTTTTACAACTAAAGAGAAATACAAAAGAAACCCTCAGCTCGAGCCAATATAACTCTTCCCTGTGAGCTCCAAAGAACATCATTAGATGCGAAGTTTTTCTCAGATAATGTATCTGGTCGTCATGCATGTGGGCATCCCAGAATAGTGATTTACCTCCTCACAGACAGGGGTGGTGGCGTGGTTTGTTGGAAAAGTCACGTGCGCCCATCTCAGTAAGCATTGGCTCTTTAATTGGAAATACCTCACAATGCAATTCTCGTGGTGTATCTGACTTTCTGCGTATAAACCTGGACTCTTTATTATCTTCCCAGCAGTAAATCACTTAGAGACAAAGCATGATATAAAACATCACATCAGGCAACTCTGTTAAATAAAGTACAGGGACAACCAACATTATGGTACGGAGCTCTTTAAGGCTGAGCAGAATCCTCAAGCTGCCAGCAAATTTGTTCTTGTTGAAGATACCCATGTATTTCAATTATTTAGAAGCAATGTCAAACTTTCATTTTTTTAAAAAACAACACATGTTTTTATTGATTTTAGAGAGAGAAGAAGGGAGAGGGAGAGAGGGAGAGGGAGAGAAACATCGATGAGACAGAGAAACATGGATGGGTTGCCTCCCATATATGTAACGATTGGTGATTGAGCCCACCACCTGTGTATGTGCCCTACTCGGGAATTGAACAGGCGACATTTAGGTGCACAGGAGGACGCTCCCACCAACTGAGCCACACTGTCCAGGGCACTGACAAACTTTCTTGAGGATCCTATTTCTCAGAATTAGGCTCAAACATGTAGGCTCAAACCTACGTGTTTGAAGTATGCCCCTTGACAGTTTCCAAAATGGCAGTACCCCAGCCCAGCCCCTGCTGACTGCTGTCTTTCCCCTGAGGATCTGGGAAAGTGCACCACAAACACCAAACCAACTTCGATGCAGGTTCAAAAAGAAAAACAAGTGAACACAGAGGAATTTTAGGGCAATGAAACTACTCTATGATACCACAACGATGGATTCATGTCATTATACATTTGTCCAAACCTAAACACCACGAGGGAACCCTGATGTAAACTATGGACTTTGGGGGAGTGCGGATGCGCATCACCTGTAACAAATGTGGTGCTCCGGGGGTGGGGGCTGCCTCCAAA